AAAAATTTGGCCTAAAAGAAATTTTAAATGAAAAAAAGGAAGTGAGTTTTGTTATAATCCGGTACATGTGCGTCCATTATAAAATTTTACACCCTTCCTTTTGTCGTTGATCGCTTTAAATTCCGACGTTTTGGATTGGTTCTTGGTTCTTTGATTAATAATGGTTTTTATTGAACTTTTCCATATATAATATATATATATAATATATATATATATATATATATATATATATAGATATATATATATTATATATATATATATATATATATATAGGGTGAGGTTCAATAGAGAACCATAATTAACCAAGGAACCAATCTTTTTTTCAAGTTTTAGAACTTATTTTTTATCAAAAAAAAACTAAAAATACAGAAATTCATAACTTTTTATCATTTTTCCAATGATATCAAATTTGATTTTTTTTACGTCAAATTCACAATGTGAATCTTTGAAAATTCACAATGTGAATCCAGATTCACACGGTGAATCCGAAAAATATTGTTCACATTCACAATGTTAAATTTTTTTTTCGATAAAGAATAAGCTCTAGAAATTGAAAAAAAGATTTGGTTCCTTGAAGAACCAATAATTATGGTTCTCTATTGAACTTTTCTATATATATATATACCATAATTATTGGTTCTTCAAGGAACCAAATCTTTTTTTCAATTTCTAGAGCTTATTCTTTATCGAAAAAAAAATCTAAAAATATCTAAATTCATATATTAACATTGTGAATGTGAACAATATTTTTCGGATTCACCGTGTGAATTTTCAAAGATTCACATTGTGAATTTGACGTAAAAAAAAATTCGAATTTGATATCATTGGAAAAAGGATAAAAAGTTATGAATTTCTGGATTTTTAGTTTTTTTTTTTTTGATAAAAATAAGTTCTAAAAGTTAAAAAAAAGATTGGTTCCTTGGTTAATTATGGTTCTCTATTGAACCTCACCCTATATATCTATATTAATATATATATATATATATATCTATATATATATATATATATAATATATATATTATATATATATATATATATATATATGACTTTCTTTATTTTATATGAAACAAAAATATTATTAATTAGATACTTGACACATATACTAATTTAACTCGATGGCGAACAATTAAAGATCAAATATCAATAACCCATTAATTGATAAGTTTAGTCATGTTTGGGATCGAGGGGTTGAAGTGAATCGTTGTTGCAGAATTTCCACTTTTATGACGAAGTCTTCCGACTAGTGATCAATATTACCTGTTTGACTATATTCATTATCTCTGGCAACAACATGATCCCTAGAAATACGGATTGCATCCATGTAGGCGCAGTCAAGTATTCTTCTCCTCGCCTAGCGCTGTTTACAATTGCTTTAGCACAACCTTCTACGGAGTACCTTGGGATCCACCGCAATTTTCCCTATCAATAAATAACCGTGGTTTAGATTTTGGTGAATGTTTCCAAAAAAATCCATGCGACTGCAAAAGTAAAATCTAGAACTAGATTGCTACGTATATAAAAAGGTGAAAAAGATAAAATTCTATTATATTTTTTTTCCAAGATTTAGGCAAATAATTAAGCTTTTCCAGAAATAGCCATAAATTTGGAAGCTTTCACTTGAAAAATTGATGCATGACCTTCAAAATCACCAAACGATGTCGTTATGAAAAAATAAACAAAGAAAAAAATTCGCAAGTTTGACATGAAATATGCAAGTTTAACTTACGAAAAAGAAAAATATATATATTCTTTCAATTTTGTTTGGATTGTAAAATCTTCAAAGACTATTTCCATACAAAAATAGCTTAATATGTAATTTTCACCTCGAAACATAAAATAAGTACATTGCTTTCATATACTTTTGTGAGTGGTGTTATCATCTTATTACCAAAGTAGTTAAAAAGTGCTTACTAGTTTAAGAGAAATTAAATATCATTCGAATTTTTCTTTCTATCTATCTTCCTATCATTCTTAGATGATGACCAGTGTAAAACAAAATTTATTAATTTTATTAAATATGTCAAGTGTCACACTCTTAAATGTATACAAAGGTGGTAAGAAAATGGTAGGAAGAAAAAATAAAAGGATATTTAATTTCTCTTAGTTTAAAAACATTCCAAACAACCTTCAAAATTATGTTTAGTTGCATTTAGGGAATAGATTATGAACTATAGTGTAAATCTAATAACAAATGATTGATCATAGATTAAATTAAACCATTTCATGATCTTAGTTAACACAATGACTCACACATGTTCACTTACCTTATCTAAGACTTCATCCTTAGCTAATGGCGTAGCGACTATCCCAAGAGTTACCATTGTTATCCTAATGTTCGAAGCAAGTTCGATTCGTAGTGTTTCAAAGAAACTTTGTTGTGCTACCTTACTTGCCTAGAGAGCTATTTCTTTGTTAGAAGATCATTACATATGTATTAAACACAAATCAATAAAAGTGTTATCTGGATTCCTACTTACGTTGTACACACTCATTCCAGGCATATTGAACCATCCGCCGGTAGAACCTATCACAATTATTCGTCCTTTACGCTTTGTCAAATATGGAAGTGCGAAATGTGTGGCATAAATTGATCCCCAGAAGTTTACATCCTTAAAAAAAAGAGCATGTATAATATTTCTAGTCCATGTGTGAAACCAACACCATAAATGAAAATTTATGGTAGAGATGATAAGTACCATGATTGAAGCGTGATCGGCAATGAATCTTTTGTCTTCGAAGAGGCAAATTTTAACTATTCCGGCGTTGTTTATAAGATAATCCACTGTTTTTTTTCATGTAATTATAATAGTCATGGTTTGTTAGTAGGTCATTCATATGCATGCTCCTACAAATATCACGACACGTTTTGGAAAAAAAGAAGTAAATGAGAGAATGTCAACAAATGAGATCCTATTTTCTGTATTTGAAGTTCTTTGAGTCGTTTTTTGCCTCAAAAACTATTAATTGTTCAAATATCAATTTGTTCATGTTTATTCATTAATATTCAAATTTGAATGAATTAATATTTTTGAACTGCTATGTTTAGCCGTTTGTGTTCTAAGGAGAACTAATTCACACTATTATGTTTCCACCATAAAAAGCAAACAAAAAATACAATGTAGTATAGAATTGTTAGCTACTCAAGCATATATGTATTAAATTAATAAAACTTAAAAAGACAACACAATATAGATTGTAAGTTTGTGGACAGGGTGCAAAAGAACCGAGCCGAGCTGAGCCCGACCAAACTTGGACCCATCTTGTTTAAAATTTTTGGGGTTCCAATTCGAGACCAGTTCTTGAAAAATTATATAGGCTTGGATTTGGCTCATATATAGTATACTCTAATTTTCTAAAATATTATTTATTATAAAGTTATTTATTTTAATATATAAAATAAAAAGTAAAAAATAAAATTATATATATATGTAGGCTACTATAGGCTCGCGAGCCTAATCCAACTTGGTAACATAAGCTCGAGCTCGTTTAATAAACACGCATAATATTAAGCTCACTCGAACGATCTCGGGTTAAGCTTTGAATGAGTCGATAGCAAGTAGCTTGTGAGTAGTTGGACTTGTTTGCAAACCTATTTATAACTGTTATTTACATTTTAATTATAATTATTTTAAATCATATAATTAATCTCTCTTTTGAGTCCATGTGTCTTTCTCCAAAACGAATCCTTACATTAAGTGTTTTTACCCAAATTGCCCTTCGATTCATTTTGATGCATATGTTAATCTTGACATCTTCTTCTTCTCCCCTAATCTCACATATATCGTGTGTTGCTTTTTAATTCGTATACAATATTCAAAAATTGAAATCCAAAATGGTAATTCTTCATCTTCCCAATATCTTGCCAAAACCCTAGCCATGGAAGTCGCCTTTCTTCCTTTGAACTGACGAATTCCACTGCTACGATTAAGCTCTCCTTTCTTTGATTTACCAAGTATGATATGTGATATTTATTCGATTTCTCCTTCTAAAAACCATGCCTACATCTATTACCCTCGAACATACACCACCATCACAACTTCAATCTCACATCTTCACCACCAAACAATCAACACAATCACACCTCTTTCAGCAATTAATCATAAAGACATGTATGTAAGGGTAAAGTTGTTTTTTTTTAATATCCACCTTTCTCATTATACCCAAAAAGTGTTGATTGTTTTAGTGTTTGGTTTCCCTTTATTGATTCAGGTTGAAATGACTATGCATATGGGTTATGCGTCTTCTCTTAAGACATGGGTTTTGCATTTTCTATGTGTCATTCTACATTCAGGCAATGGTATTCTTTTAGTTTTGTTTGTCACAAGTTTTTAAGTATTTTGTTTAATTTCTTTGTTAGAAGTTTAAAATATGAATTTCTCTCTTCTTGATGGTGTTTTCAACCCTAGATCTGATCAGTTTTAAAGCATCTGCTTTAAAGCTACAGGTGATAGACATGATGGGTTGGAGAGAACACGAATCTCACAAAATGTTTGGGCTGTTGTTGGCAGGTAATACACGACTTTTATAGGAAGGAATAAAATTATGATGTCATGGGAAATTCCATAAATACCAATGCATATCCACTTCAACTCTAATGCAGTCAATGTACTCTAGAAATAGTTTAAAAATTCAAGATGATTAATTTCAATGACATATTTGTTCATTAGCATCCATAAATAAGTTTAAAAAATACTATATTGTATATAGTAAGAGTATTTTAGGTATTTGAGAAACAACTAAAATTCAACTTTGGTTTTTAACACTTATAATCCATATGACATTTTGATTTGTACAAACTTATGTTTCCAGTTTTGTAATTAAAAGTGTCAAACTTTGACTTTGTAGGAAAATGAGAAACAATTTGAGTATTAGACATTGGTTTTGAATGGTTTTTCCAAACAAAACATTTGAGTGGTTCAGAATGAAGCTTTAGTTGGTTGGAGGTGATTTTGCTGGAGGGTTTTCCACACAAAAGCAAAAGTAAGTTCATGTTTCCTTGCAATGTTTTGATAAAAGATGGAAAGCACAATGCTATAATTTAGTGTTTTTTTTCAAAGCCTCATGTCTTGATATGAGAACAAGTTTGAAACTTTAATGTTTGGACTAATATTTTAAAGTGCAAGATCGTAATGAGTGAAATACTGAAAATTGGGTAGATTTTACAAGGTGATATGAACTAAAAGCTATTATATTTCGTGGTGAGTGAAATACTGAAAATTGGGTAGATTTTAAATGGTGATATGAACTAAAAGCTATTATATTTCGTGGGTTTATCATTTGGGTTGAAATCTTTTATAAGTAGTGGCTTTGAAGTGAATGCTTTTGCAATAACCAATGTATTAGAATTTCTTAAATAAAAAGCATTAAGAACTGCATGTTTGTCTCTTTAAAGGCGTGGAAAAGAATGGAAATCAAAAAATAATTTTTGGGTTTTATTGTGTGTAACAGGCAAAGGATGTGATGGTTGTTATTAAAAGAGTACTCAACAAAAGGTATATATGGCCGATATGACTCGATAATGACCAACCATATCGATATTGGTAATAAAGAGGAAGCAACATCTTTTAGATAGCAATTTTCTTGGTGATTACAAATGCTTGAAGTTGATTCTCCCCTGCTTTGTTGGATTTTCACATCATATTGTCATCATCTATTTGGATGTTTTCAAAATTTACTAAACTGCTTCAAAATAGAGAAATACATTTTCGGTGCCAATTTTAATTTAGAAAGCCAAGGCTACTTACTCAAATTGATAATGACAATATTATGTGAAAAATATTGTTTGTGATCTTGACTCTGCTAATTTTAAATCCAAAAAACAATCAGAATTGTGTCTACATTTTCCACTTTGTTTTTTTTTTCGACATTGACTTTGGCTGTCAAATTTATGTGTAAATATTTTATACATTTAATTTAAAATGCTTCTTTTTTACTATCCTTTTAGAGGTCTTTTATTTTATATGAGTTATAAAAATTGGACATGGTATACAAAGTCTATAAATAATTATTATCGAGATGATTAAATCTTTTATAAAATTACAAAAACAATTACTCATAAGGTATTTAGAGTTATGTTTGGCTGTACATTAGTTAAATTATCTAATCAAATACTTAGAATGAACATTTTTTTTTGTTATTTAAATTATTATTAAATGTATAAGGCTTATACATATTTCTTTGCTATTAATTGTTTAGGCGGGTTGATGCACCAAGTGAAAATGGTGTGGTAACGGTGTTTTATAATTTCATATCATAATGGTGTTTTGTTAATGTTTTTCAAAGTTTATTTCATAAATAACTTCGACGAACAATATAATTGCAACACTTAGTTTTTGTTTGTAGGTTGAGGCTAAAATAAAAAATATGACGTCTGGATCTTCATGGTGTTACGTTATTTTGAATTAATAACATGCGTGATATTTAATGCTTCAAAGGGTTTGTGCACTTCAAATTAATGCTTCAATGTGTGTTATTTAAATGTATAATTTTTAAAAAAATAGCTAAAATTATTACAACGGTGACTTGCAATTTAAAGCCTATATCTATTATATAATATTAATAATTTATATTCATGATAATATTTTTCGGTTTGAAAAATTGTCTATATAAAAATAAATGAAATAATAAGGGTTAGATGTGAACATTTAAATTTTGTTAGAGATTTATAAACAGTTTGTAAATTTTAATATTTTATATCTTTTACTTAACTTTAGTAAACCATATTTCATTTATGATTTTAATTTGTTATTTACTGTGTTGTGTTTATGTATGTTTATTATATCATTGTCGTTTTTAATTTGTTATATAACAATGTCATTTTCATAATTGATTGCGTTTTTTCATTTTATTCAAATTTATATTGTATTGTATGAAATCATGATTTTATTAAATATTTATATATAAAGAACGTAGATGTGATATTCATAACAATGCATATACTAATTTTTACTAATCATTATATAAGTCTAAACAAAATTTATATCTTATTAGTTTAATAAAATTTATAAATCTTTGATTTTTCATTATAATTTTAAATTATCGATATATTTTTCTTTTTTACACCCGGTTTCCACGGATTGTGATTGTAACATAGTTTTGAATAATAACAGTAGTTCCAAACCCTACATCTTTTCACATGTTCGTATAATCGATTTTTATAAAAAAAAAGATGGATTTAGTTAACAAAAATCAATCGTACAACAATTGAATTGGACAATTGAATTGGGGGACGCTGACATGAGACATAGCACCGTGAGTTCAATTGAACGTTAACAAAAGGGAAAATGACTTATATGGGTAACTATGTTTCAAAATTGTTCAAAAAATATCATTCAAGTTAGGTGTGTCCAAAAAACACCATCCAAATAAAACATTTGTACAAAAAACACCAACAAAGTACATTTTTTGTTCAAATTTGACCTTTGGTAACCGGCAATTACCGGTAAAAAATAAGTAAAGGAAAAAAACAATAGGACAATGACTCAAAGAGGTAACTATGTTTCAAAATCGTTCAAAAAACACCATCCAAGTTTGGTATGTTCAAAAAACACTATTCAAGTAAACTTTTTGTACAAAAAACACCAACAAACTATATGTTTTGTTCAAATATTACCCACCGGTAACTGGTTCTTATAGGTTAAATGATAACTTGGGTTAACTATTATGACATGACATAATAATGATTGACAAAACAATAAATGATATATTCCTCCTTTAAAAACCGATTTAGGGTTTCTTTATGAACGAATGACTTATTCTTCTCCTATGATTGTTCGTCTTCTTCCAAAGTGATGATCTCGAACTCAAGTCCAAAATCCTAATTCTTAACTTAAGGCAAAAAGGGCTCCTTTACCCCTGCCTCAATGGACCTCCGTCCCCCTAAGGCCCAAATCCATAAAAAACCCAAAAAGGCAATCCAAACCCAACTACAAGGCATCTAAGGCCTAATATGGCCCAAGAACCCCCAACATGGCCTTAGCCAAAAAATGACCTGCTACAATCAGGTGGGCCCGAGGCATTTTTAAGTTAGGCATTGGGCCCACCTGATTGTAGCAAGTCATTTTTGGGCTTAAGGCCATGTTGGGGGTTCTTGGGCCATATTAGGCCTTAGATGCCTTGTAGTTGGGCTTGGATGCCTTTTAGGGCTTTTTATGGATTTGGGCCTTAGGGGGAGGGAGGTCCATTGAGGCAGGGGTAAAGGAGTCCTTTTTGCCTTAAGTTAAGAGTTAGGGTTTTGGACTTGAGTTCGAGATCATCACTTTAGAAGAAGAAGAGCAATCATAGGAGAAGAAGAAGTCATTCGTTCATGAAGAAACCCTAAATCGGTTTTTAAAGGAGGAATATATCATTTATTGTTTTGTCAATCATTATTATGCCATGTCATAATAGTTAAGCCAAGTTATCATTTAACCTGTAAGAACCAATTACCGGTGGATAATATTTGAACAAAACATATAGTTTGTTGGTGTTTTTTGTGCAAAAAGTTTACTTGGATGATGTTTTTTTGAACATACCAAACTTGGATGGTGTTTTTTGAACGATTTTGAAACATAGTTACCTCTTTGAGTCATTTCCTATTGTTTTTTTTCCTTTACTTATTTTTTACCGGTAATTGTCGGTTACCAAATGTCAAATTTGAACAAAGAATGTACTTCGTTGGTGTTTTTTATACAAATGTTTTACTTGGATGATGTTTTTTGGACACACTAAACTTGAATGATATTTTTTGAACGATTTTGAAACATAGTTACCCATATAAGTCATTTTCCCTTAACAAAAGGAATTGATACTTTGATCACGAAACTCACATTTTCTAAAATGGTTGATCGTTTCATCGACAAGTCTCTTGCAATCTTGAAGCTTCGAAACATCCGCCTTGATCACAATCACCTTTGGTGCTCCCAGCTCCTTTGCTTTCCCGGCAACCGCCGCTAGCAGATCCTCTCTTCTCGCAACCAGCGCTAAACTTGCTCCATGTTTCGCGTACTCATACGCCAAATGCTTCATTATTTTACCAAATCAAGCATATCGTCAATTTCTACATTTACGCATGTAATTTGATAGAAGAAAAAAAGCTATATGTGCTTGTATAGGTTACCTCGCCGATACCAGAAGAAGCTCCTGTAATAAGCACTACTTTTCCGGCGAGTTTGTCCTGGGATACAGATCTGATGCAAAACCTCAATATGCGGAATAATGAAAGTATCGGCAAGATGAAGATAAATGAGATGACCGATATAATAACAGAAACAATGTTTAAGAAATTGTGTATCAAATCCATCACTTTTCACTGCCGCTAGTAAAGCTGGTCGTAGTTTTTTAGATTATGACCGGAGAAATGAATACATATATACATATATTTAATATTAATGGCGGGGGGGATTTTTCAAAGCTAAACATATGTTGGTTGTGAACAACAAACAAATTACGTACCAATCACTGCATCATGCCGGAGATGTGGTCAAAAGATAGTAGACCAAGAACTTGTATCATTTAATAGCTCCGAAAAACAGTTTTATGTATTATGATAGCATTTTTTTAGTAATATTTCATTTTTTTTTTAAAACAAATATGATTTTTCTTTATTAGGAAAATATAATATCTCGCCACTTAAGAAACGTATAAGAGTCTATTTTGATAGCCTATTAACGGAACCGTTAAGATGCAATTTTGAATGGTTGGACCATTAAAAGTTAAAACCATTTGATTCGTCTAATTTTAACCTCCGAATTAGTTGAAGACAATGAACCATTGAGCCAAAAACTCTCTCTGAATCGTTCAAAGAGCTAAGCAACCACACTCGCTACCCTTCTCCCTTCAAACAATACTCTCACTCAACCTCTCTCTACAAACCCTCACCACTTTGCAGCGTTGCTCTTCTCTCTCAATTACTTAAGCTCTTAAACATTTGATTTTCGGGTAGCCGAAGTACTTTGTGATGAGATAACAAATTGAAGTTGGGGTCGTTGAAAGATCCACTTTTCAGTTTTCTCTTCCTCCACCACCATGATAATTGTCCGCTCCGTTGTCATCTGAAAGATCATCTCTACTGGTCGATCTTTGCCCATCAGGGAATGTAAAATCATTTGCTCATTAGTTTCAGTTAAACTAATTTAAAAATATTTATAGGATTCGTTCTCCATTTCTACAAATTTAATAGCTTGAGCCTTGAAGAAAGTATCTGTGTCTTTCCTAATTTACATTCTTTAAGGCCACAAAGATAAATATAGAGTAATCGTTATATATATGGTTCCATGTATATCAAGTTTAGTCCCTAATTTTTTTCGGAGGTCCATATGGTTTTAAAACTTTTAATGTACATTTCTTATGGCTAACTAACATCTATTTTAGTCGGTTAAATCATAACATGTGAGAGAAAAATTGTCATTTAACAACCACATAGACCATTCTTAAAGTTTTGTTTTAAAATAACTTACTAACCCCCCCCCCCCCCTTTTTTTCACCGGATCTATGCTTTTTAGCATAGATGTTGCAGAGAATTGGAGCCCGAAAGATGTAAAGATGCAAGTAATGAATATAAAGACAAGGCTAAAACATGATCTCTTCTTCCCTTCAATCACCATCGATATTCTCTATATCTCTTTCGTTTTTATATTTTTTGGTCTCTAACTTTCCCTTGCATTCCCATACACACACATGACACATACCTCTGTTGGAAATGAAATATCAATTTTGTGTTGGAGCCACCTTTGCAAACGCTAAGTTCTTACTTTTTTGGTTATGTATTTGGTGTTTTTTTTAAATTTCTTCATTTGATTTGTTTATTGCTTGAGAAAAGTGTACATTGATGTTTTTGTACCACGATTTAATTTTGTTGGAATTGAACATGTGGAGTTGCATATGAAGTGTTTGTGAAAAGTCCTCAGTGAGGTTTATTTTGTGAAAATGTGTTTTGATGAACATATGAAGTTTTAAATTTTGATTTGTAATCTCTTCTTTACTTTTTCCTTCTAGAACTGATCTAATTGTCTTTAATGTCTATGGTTTATATTATGGATCTAACTATAAAATACGGTCTTGAAAGTTTGCATGCTAAGTGTTTGTGAAAAGTACTCAGTGAGGGTTTTGAACTGATCACAAGAAGACACTCTCATGTTTAGTGTATGTTGGTTGGTTTATCCATAATTTTGACTAAAATTCTTATTATGTAAGTTTAGTACTTCTATACAACCATATATGCTCACATCATACACATGTATAGTGTGTATAGTTGTGTGTATATATACAAGGTACAATTATAACCTTACTTTTACTATGTACTTATTACTTGATATATTTTGCCATACTTACATGATTTTGTTTCACTGGTTAGACATTATACAAATGAATTACTTGCTATGCCATTTTATATCATACTAGATGTAGTGTGCGTTGTAACTATGACTAATATACTTACAATTTATGATCATTAAAAAAAACATTTAACGAAGTTTTGGTTTCGGCTCCCCTACTTTTATTATCCGTGTTCCGCCCCGGCGATGGGTGGCTAAAAGCGGAAGAGGATAGTAATTTACAGTTTTTGTCCTTAATATTTATATATTTTGATATTTCTAGTCCAAGGGTGGGTTAGTAAGTAGTTTTAAGACAACACTTCATAAATGGTCATTGTGGTTGTTAAATGATGATTTTTCCATCGCATGTCTCACACATGTTATGACTTAACGGACTAAAATAAACAGTGTTACCTATAAGGACTATCTATGTAATTTTTTTAAACCATAAGGACCTTCCATAAGACTAGAAAAATTAAGGTCTAAACTTGATATTTCTAAAAAGCACATGACCATTCATTTATGAAGATCACTCATAAATATATTAGAACTATCAATGACTTTTAGATCTCGATTTATGAGCCCTCTTGAGCAATTTCTGAATTTGTGTGTTTGTTTATCCTTTATAAATTTTATTACTTTTTAGTTGGAATGTGTATAATGAATGGGAATATTATGGTCATTACACAATAATTTTGGTTTTCATTAGATAGCATGATAGCTTATATTTGAGTGATATTTTCATGAAAGTAGGGAAAGAAAGAGTACAATGATACGTTACTTATATGAAGAATGTAATTATAAATTAAGTGTTTAGTCATAAAAAGAAAAATGTAAATGACACGGACGCCCTATGATGTTTCTAAAATTTGTCAATTCAGTCCCTAAAGTTATTTTGTTGCTTTGTGTGGGCATAATGTTGTTTTTATCGTGTCTATTTGGTACTTTTGGAAAAATCGAAAGGATAAACCAGTTACTCTCTTATGCCAACTCATTTCTTATCCATGTCTCTCTTTCTCTCTGAAAATTGACTCCTTAAGTTTCTTTGACCATCGTTTCCTCAAAGTTAATCGAAGAGACCAAAATCATTTCATCAAAATTCATTTGATTAAGACTCCTAACCAAGTGAATGTAATAGAGCATTGTTGGGAATAAAATCCACCGATTGCATCATATTCAAGCATTGTAACTTTACAACTTTCATGGGATTCAACCATCAAACATTCCAATATCCTGATCATTTCATCCGTAATATCACTAGGTCTACCAATTCTAGGGCTTGAAACTTTACCCTCAAATCTAAAGTGAAATGAAGAAATTGGAGATTTAGGTTTGCTCCAATCATAAAATCAAGCTAAGGATTAAATCATAGCCACATGTCGCCATCGTTCCTCTCCGATAGTAGCATTTTCTGTTGCTTTTCCCTATCTCCTAGTTGTCTCTCTTTCCTTGTATTCTAGCGTGTGCTTCTTTTTTCTGTGTTTGCAAAAAAAGGGAAATACACAAACGATGTGTGTGTGTGTGTGTCTGATCATGCAATGATAAACCAGAGAAAAAGTGGAAGAGAAGCCATTGTATCTCTCGATGGCCTGTGTATATTTGTGTAACTATGAAACAGACGAATAAATAGAGAACCATAGAAGAAAATTCAATTATTATGTATGTTTGTGAGCTGCTATCAAAAAAAGAAAAGAAAGGGAAGAAAGGCGGAGACAAATCGAGAGACATGACAACAAGAGGAAGAAAAGAGGGTAGCAGCTTAGTTGTTGCTCCTTGTAACATCCTAAAAATAACAATGAAAATTTTCATTTTTAAACCATCAAATTCATACAACATTTGTTTTAAAACCATTCATAGTAAAATGTATATTTCAAACATCAGAGGAAAACAATAATAATCAGTGCGGAAAAAGCCATCAGGGGATGATGTGCAGTGAAGTTGGGCCCCTCTTTTTGGAACCGGAACTACCTGAAAATATTTAAACCACAAAACTGTAAGCAAAAAGCTTAGTGAGTTCCCCAAAATACCACATACCATACATAAGACATTGCATGTTATGGGCCAAGTCATAGTCTTACAGTCACTTCCTGTCATCTGCCAAATCATGGTCTTTCCTTGCAATGTTGTGGGCCAAATCCTGGTCTTACAAACAAGTTTCAAGGGCCACACCCTGGTCTTCCATGCAAGTATCACATTTACAACAAGCATCCTACATACAAATACCAGGGGCAGATCCTGGTCGTACATATAATTTCCAAGGGACAGATCTTGGTCTTTCATACTATTGTCAGGAGCCAAATCCTAGTGTTTCATACATATGCTAAGGGCCACACCGTGGTTTTCCATGCAAGTATCACAAAGAAAAGTAGCATCCTACATAGTATAGTGAGAAGACTCACCTCAATCAGAAGACAATATAACCCACACACTTGAGTTGATGATACCGAGTCTCCTCACACTAAACATATACAAAATAAAACCTTAATTAACAATTAAGGTAATAAACAACTCTAAAAAGGTCTAGGCTCACAATAAGACCATTTTTCCCTTCCAAGACTAAGTCCTAACATGGTTGACTAAAAGTCAAGCCGGTCAAAAAGTGACGGTCAACCCTCAGTTGACTTACACTCAGTGTAACACATTGATCTACGCTCAACATAGAGTTACGCTTAGTGTACAAAAGGCTATGATCAGTGTAGAACCGTTGTAGTCCAAAAACTCTATTAAGCTCTTAATATAGAAAGCCAAAACTTTAAACTTCTAGATCTGATCTAAATGAAATTATTAATGGATAAAGTCTTAGACTTTATCCATTTTCATGGCTAGAATTACAACACACACAAACCCTAAGTCTATAAAACCAAATTTTGCTCAAAAATCCATGCATGGATGGATGAGAGTGCCCAAGCTCTAATTTTTATGACTCTATAACCTCAAAAATATCAAAAGAAGGCATTCAAGTGGTCTAGAGTAACCCACACTCACAAGGATCAAGATTATGGAGACAAAAGTATAAACTCACAACCATACTAGATCTAACATGGACAAGCATCA